GATACCCAACTTTGTATAGCTCCTAGTAATTGTAGTCGCTAATCGTTACGTTCACCATCATTCGCAGCCGGTCTCGAAAACACTACGAATTTTCTATCTTTAGCCCTACCAGACGAACAATCGAGCATCCCATTACCAGGAAGCTGAACTCCTACGCGTCCTCGACATCGCGCATTCACGATGAGCGCAAAACACAACCTTCACGTCGCGCACCATCTCCCAAGCCACATCTCCCCCGCCTCGGTCGTAGCCGCGCTGCATGACCACGACACAACCCTCACACTCCAAGCCCTTAGCTGTGGCTATGAGACAGCCCCCAGCACCGCCGAAACGACCCTCAAAGATACATACTGGTATCCGCCCGACCAATACCCCGTCGCAACGTACCACGTCAGCGAGTGCATAACGTGGTTCCCTGGTATTGGGCAGTACGGGAAGAAGTACATAACCTTCCCAGTCTGTTACCAGAACACGAGACAGGGCATAAAGACGCGCGCAGATGCGGCGGCGGGCGTGATACTCAGGGCTGAATACAGGGTGGTTGCAAATGGCGAACTGGGCAGCGAGGTTGAGGGTGAGGGCATGGGCGTCGGAGACGCGCAGTTTGTGCTAGTTGAAGATGTGGAAGTCAGCTGCGCGTGGTGGCTGATGCCTTTCGTAAAGGGCAAGATGGAAGAAGGGCATCGAAATCTTTGTAGGATGGTCATCGAGAAGGTAGAGAAGATGGTAAGCGAGGGGTGGGAGGGCCACGATCCTGTGGCATTTGGTCTACGCGGTGTTGCGAGCCGGCACGACAGCAGGATAGAGGGTATGGACGATGTCAACACAGGGTTTGCGCAGGAAACGAGGGAACATTATGCGAAGCCACAGCCCGTGGTGTTTGGGCAGACACATCAAGATTTACCACGATATGCGGACGCGGATGCGATGGAGGAGGAGCGGCCGCACATGTCCGCCGGGCCGCTACCGGAGAAGGTTACCTACGGATAACTTTTGCTCGCGGGCTACGACGCTTGGAGTAACAATGCCCACACGTAGAAACCGTAGACCACTCCACCGAGAGTGAAAGTAAGGCACGACCCTGTGATCGGACAGTGGGCAATAGTAACGACGGGAAGCGAAAGGCAATCAACGCGTGATTGCAGCACACAACCTGTAACTAATGAAACCACATCGACTTCTCCCGACCCTCCCCTCACCAACTTCACAAAGATATGACGCTCTCGACTATTCAACTACCCTTACGCCTCGCACTCGCGCTTCTCCTGCCCCTCTGGGCGCGTTCGACGACCCAGGATGAGGTGTGGGCGGTTTTTCTCTTGACGGCTCTGCTTGCGATATTGGCGTATCAAACACGCTTCGCTGTCGACTTTGGTCTCGCTAAAGACGCCATGATAGCGGTGTACGGAACATTCGTCGCAAGCTATGTTGCCGAGTATTACTTTGCCGGTCCATGGATGCGATTAGCCATGGCGTATATCTTCTCTTGGGATGCGCTGCAGTATGTCTTACCTTCCACCGAACACTATGTAAGATAATTCTCTTCCCAACCATAACGTCGACGTCTAATGGGAATATAGGTTCGTGTCTGGGAAGCACGCCAGAAGCCTTTACGATCATCGCCAATACTGAACCTGCCCCTTGTCATGGCTACTATATTGACAACGTACCTCGGTGTGTGCGGCTACCTCAATACACAGGGCCCTAGGTGGCGCGCCTTAGGTATCTGCCTCATGACGGTCTGCGCCACCGGTGATGCTCTTCAGCACTGTGCTATTGGCGTACGACACATGGTATCCTGTTATTATGCTGTATCGCACCTCGACGTCGCGGATACACCCGGACCAGTCGAGCCGGAACTAGAACGAGACGATACTATTCTTTCGACTGAAGAGAAGAGTGTTTCTGTCTTGGCATCCATGTCTGAGGACGAAAAGTGCAAGTACTGGGCAGAAGGGTCGCTTGTACCTCTGGGGTATTGTGATTGGGAGCTACTGATGGCGCAGGTGATCTCAGAGATACCAACGATGCAGCGTCGGCCAAGTACGAGGAGGAGAGGTTAGGGTACTATGAGACACCAAGGGTAGTCTTCCTTTCATAATTCATCAACCTACAAGCCTCCTTCGCGCAAGCCGTGCCTCACTCCGATGCTTGCTCTTCTGCAATCCACGCCATGTACGCGTCTTTAAGCCGCAATACGAGCCCCTGCCACTCCTCCACAGTGAAGCAACTGCTACTCTGTCTCGACGCTAACTTTGTCTTGACCACATCCTGCAGAGCGCCATTGATGCTCTGCTCAAATACCTGCTCCAGAGCTTTACCCTTGTCTGCTTTAAAATTATAACGGTTCTCTCCACCTACGCCCGTTACGAACCCCGAGACCCGAGCAGTGAAAGCATCAGCACTAGTGCGCTCGCTGAGACGTATTTCGACCGTGTATTGCAAAAGCAGCTTCGGTGAAGACCCTGGATGTGGAACGGTGTCTTTGATTCGGAAATTGACGCGGCGGATATTGTTGGATGTCGGATGAAAGAGTGTACTTGGCTCTCGGAGCCAACTCCCGTTCGAACGTGTGAGAATCTTCCCAGGTGGTGAGGTTCGTAATAGAAGATCAGCAGTCCAAGTATATGACCCGAATAGTAGCGAGAGAAGCTCGAGCCATATCGTTTTGCAGGTATTAAGCAGACCACGGATTGTTTTCGGTAGCTGGGCAAAGACGCCTTTGACGGTTGTCACGCATCGTTCCTTCCCGCCATGATCTATGATTCTTCGCTCGAATTTGCCGACGATGTAGCCGTAGATGTGGTTCCGAATTTCTGCTGGGAGGTCGAGGAATGTGCATCGTTCTAGATTTTCATCGTGTCTGCTTGGGGTGCTTATTGTTGAGATCTGGTGGTCGTCTGGCTGAGAATTGGATAGTGAGTCGGACACCGTAGCGCTTGAGGTACAGGCTTCTAGTACTGGGGCATTCTGTGGTGAGCTCATCTTGCGGTCTTTCAACGAACGGCAAGTGTTATGTAGAAGGAAAAGAAGATTGGAAAGACGCAAAGTAGACATGTAAAGATGTTAGCAGACCTACAGTACTTATTTAGAACCTTGGTGCACGACACGGACTGGTTCTGGGAATAGTGCGGCGCCGCTACGCAGCTAAGTAGCCTGCTGCCTAACGTATCCTAGCACTGCGCGCGCCAGGGGTAAAGGCAGAGGACTCACGCAATCACAGGAGGTATGGTGTTCTTCAACGACCTCTGCGAAATTCTTGTCGTTTGAAATCGATGGTGACGAAGCAAGGTAGAGGCGTGTGCAGAAGTCGCGCATCGCCCGCCGGGCTAAATTCCGCCTGTCACTCCCGTGCCGTCAGCTCACGTCATCGTTAATGGCAACATTGAACCAGATCTCCTCTGTAACCAAATCGTGAGATACCTCAAGCATCTCACCAGTTGAATCACAGAAAATGTCAGAATCGGTAAGCTGGAAAGCCTAACCAAATGCGATGTCATCAGTATGGCAATGGCCATGGTCGCACTAAGCTAGCCCGGTCTGCTAACATCTCCAAGGCCGCCACCAACGGCTTCGCTGAGAAAGACGGCCAGTTCCGTCGCAAACCCTCAGCATTCCGCAACTTTATCTCTTCTGATCCCAATTCAGAGTTTCCAGCGGAAAAGGATCGATATGCGCTTTACATTCACATGGGTTGCCCTTGGGCACATCGTACCAACCTAGTGCGTAGCTTGAAAGGGCTGGAGGATGTCATCCAATTGATCGTATGGGATCTGTCGCTTGTTCACGATAAGAAAGGATGGGGCATGTCTGGGAAGCCTGGGTTCGAAAAAGAGCCGCTGTATGGTTATACGAACTTGAGGCAGCTGTACGAAAGGGCGAACCCGGAATACGAAGGGCGGTACCTCGTCCCGACACTCTGGGACAAGAAGAAAGGCAGGTCCCGTGACTGCAAGCGCGTAAAGACTATGCGCTGACTTGGTTACAGAGACAATCGTGAACAACGAGTCCAGCGAAATAATCCGTATGTTCTACACCGAGTTTGATGCGTTCATCCCCGAGCAGCTCCGCGAGTCCAGCAAAGGCGTCAAATCCATCCTACCAAAGCACTTGCGCGAGGACATTGATGCTATGAACGAGTGGGTCTACGATACCATCAACAATGGCGTATACAAGACTGGGTTTGCCCAATCCCAGGAGGCATACGAAGAGCACGTTTACCCCTTGTTCAAATCTCTCGATCGCCTGGAAGAACACCTTGGTCAGCCAGGTCACGGGCCTTACTTGTTTGGCGATCACATCACTGAAGCAGATATCAGGCTGTATACTACCATCATCAGATTCGATGTTGCGTACTTCACAATCTTCAAATGCAACCTCAAGATGATTCGCTATGAGTACCCGCGGCTGCACAACTGGGTACGCAGGCTGTACTGGGATGAGAGCGAAACGACCAATTTTGGTGCGTTCAAGAAGACGGTGGACTTTCAGGCAGTAAGTATAAGGCTGTGCGAAAAGACGAGGTACTCGATGGCTAATGCACTTCAAGTACAAGGATGGCTACTCGAACGCTACGAAGGCGAAGATTGTGCCTGTGGGACCGAAGCCAGATATCATGCCCTTGTAGATCGTTCACTGCAACGGAAGCTCGTTTAGTCAGTCTGTAAGCGTTGAATAAAAGTTCCATATCATCTAAATCTTTTCTTCCAACCAAGGTGTTAAAATGATCTGTAAAAAGTCGTCAAGAGTCGCTGCGTTGCTGTGTGAAGGGGTAATGATGCGCGCGCGTACGCGCAAGGCAGCGCGGGTGTGAACAGTGAACATGCGCCAGTCCGCGTCGTGAATTTCTCGTGCTTGCTCACCTGGTTGCGACACAAACAGTCATGTCGATTTCACAGAACGGGACGAACGATACTTCATTCGGCAAGACGTTCTTAAGGCGTTCATTGCCAGTTTCTGACACAGCTCCACTGGAATCTATTACGTGCCACTCGAACACGATGAAGCCTTCTACTCATACTGCACCCCCACAAGCCCCTACGGCTGAGACATTAGACGAGAAAGAGACACCAGATCTTCCACAATCTACACTACCTGCAGCTGAAGATGTATCACATGATCCGTTCCACGACCTAATCCCCGGCTGCCCACAGCTCGCTGGAAGGATGGGCATTATGCCTGAGATAGGCATGTTCAGAAGATTCGGCGCACTTAATGCGCGCAGCCTCCTCTACTACCAGAACGAACTGGCGTACCTAGAGGACCAGTTGAAAGAGACCGAGGCTGAAGACGCGAAGAGTCCAGAGGGCAAGAAAGCGTGGTACAGCCACAATGCTTATTGGCTCAACACCGCAGACCGCACGACAGACGACGAGCTCCGAGACGGCGACATGAGGCAAAGGGACCTCGTGATGCGCATCAGATGTCTTCTAAAAGAATACAGTACGTTAACAACGAAGCAACGCGGAAGCACTCTGATCAAATATCGCAGACGACGCACTCATCCAACAGTCCACCATACTCCAAAGCATGAAGGAGCCCGCTGCTTTCGACCTCGACGATATCCAGCACTTCCTAGCAAGCGACCTCATGAAAGTCCTCACAGGCCTAGATGGAACCGTCTGGGGTTCTTATCAACAACCAAACAGTTACAGCAACGAACTCGTCGTCCTCCGGGGCCGAAAGAACATGGATCCCTTCTCGCGGAACATGGGCGCAAGAGCTATTGATTGGATCGTGAAGCTTGGTGGCAAGCGCTGGAAGAAGGTCGACGCTCGCTTCGGAACTGTTGCTATTGATGAGAGTACAGTCTACATGTTCACATTCTGGATCACGAGTGCTGTTGCTTCGGTTTTACTCGTTGGCCCGATCTTCATACTCGCGAACACCAATTCTCTCGATGAACAGCTGGTGGTTATTGCAGCGTCGAATGTTCTTACTTCGGTTTGCTTGATGTACTTCACTCGTGCACGGAGGGCTGATGTCTTCGCCATTACTGCTGCGTAAGTGATAGCAATATCGCATGGATGCATTGATGACTAATGCTGGTGTAGATACGCGGCGGTGCAGGTCTTGAGCATTATTGCAACACTGGACAAGCGGTCTCGAGATGCTTTGTAGGAGACAGGGCAGTTGGAGTTGAAAGTAGCAATGGAAAGAATTAAACATCCTACCCACAGTAGGGTTGCAGAAGACATGGTTTCCTCAGTCTGCAATGTCAGACAGATAGAAGAGCCCAGGCATGTACAACACCCTTCCAGCTAATAGCTTATCTATCTAAACCGACTTGGATACCTCCTGGCCTACAGATGTCGTGCGTGCTCACTGCTGCCACACCCGACTTGGAGAATACAGCCGGTCCGATAGAGACACGATCACACTGACGCACATGGCCTGCTGACATGAGTCAATGTATAATAATACGACTAACATTTCTCTTCCGAGTCCATCAGCTGAAGCAATTTTCGTATTTGGGTCAATCAAAATGTGTATGATCCTGCTAGGGTTGAGGAATACATCTGTGGAGCCTATATTAAAGTGGTCGAGTATATGTAAGCGTGATGTACCTCAGTGGCTGGTGGAAGTTCGTGGGATCTTGTGGGAAACAGTAAGGACCTCCAGGGTAAGCTGTGATACATTGTCTGTAGGCTGAAAATGTTGCAAGTGCCTCCCAGGCTATCGGTAAATTCACTACTTTTCCGTTCCGATATGAAACACATCGTGTCTTTCTTTTCCTCTCCGGCGTGGATCGGACGTGTTTAGGGACCAGTCGCGTGATCCAATGGGTTCATGGTCAGGCTTTCGAGATGTTGGTGGTTGTCACAGCGATATTCGGATACTGGTGGCTTGTACAAGAAAGTGTATATTATATATGAAGTTATAGCGACCACATCTAGTGGTGGACTAAGGTGATTCGGCATATGCTGGCGTAGGGCCCGTTCAAAAGATCTCTTGGTCGTCATACGCCCTCACACTCTCCAACCGTTGCCTAACCATCTTAGGATCTTTGCAGACATGCTTGCTATCCCAGCCATCACTGCCGCCGTTGTGATCAGGGAACGTCGTCTCCAATCCCTCGAGAGCCATGTCTGCGCTACACATGATAGCTTGGCGCATGTAGTCGAAGCAATGGATCATATGCCAGTGGTGGTCTTCCTCAAGCTCGTGGCCGGATGTCATACCGGAGTAGACGGCAACGACGGCGTAGAGGCAGTGAAGTTGGTGGGTCATTGATGTCGTGAAGACGGTGGCGTTGGGCCAGACGATGGGGGTGGGAAGGTCGTGGTAGTTCTCTGGGTCAGGGATGCTTTGGAAGCCCATGCCGACTGTGGTGGTTGTTAGTGAGGTGTTCACGATAGAGTGAAGCGTGAGAAAGTCATACCAGGCAACAGCTCGTTCCATGCTCTAAGTACTTCTGGTTTGAAGAACTCTGATGTGTTGTATGGCGCGAATGTCTGGTTAATCTCGAACTTGGTGATCTGCGTAGGAACTGCAATTCGGTTAACAGATGTACCGGCCTGGACTGCAAGGCAAGTCTTACTATGTGGTGACCACCCGGTGATGTCGCCGCCAACATCGTTTGCGCTTGTTGATCGAGCCTTCCATCTTGTCGAGTCGAGCATGCCTTGGTCTCTAGCCAAGAGCCCAATGATTACGAGTTGTAGTCCTATCACCAACACCCATCGCATCGCCGCCACTAGCGGTGGGCACAATATATTCCTTCGTGATAATGGTGTTCTTCTGTGATAGTCGCCAGCTGCCCATTGCTTCTCTCCTCCAACTAAGGATTCGACCTCTGTCGACGAGTCGTCATCATGGTGATGGTCCTGTGAGTGTACATCTGCGTAATGGTGTTGTGGCTCCATCATGTCGATCGAATAGAATAAGTGACACCAGGTCAGTCGTGGAATTTGATATTAGAAACGGAAGTGAGCACAGCTGAAGAGCCAAAGGCAGCAGCGGCCTCCGTACAGATGTACTCGCATGTCAAACGTGCCGGCCCACACCGAAACGTCGAGGCTGTCGTTCCTGGCGGCGCCTACCCTCTCCACTCATTGTAGACGCCGGCGATAGCTCAATTGGAAGTCTTAGGCGTGAGTCGAGGGCGATGAAACGGGATGTTGGAAGGGCGTATCCGTAAGCTAATCCTTGTTGCGTTAAAGCGCCGAGATGAAACCGACGATGAATCGCCAAGAGTATGAGGCCATCTCGTCTTCCGCCTCAAGCGAGGATAGCCTGAAACCCAATCCAAACATCGAGCATGAACATTCGTACTTTGTTAACTGCAGCCGACGTTGGCTTTCGTGCTTTAGAACGCGCCGTCGCCACTCTGTTCGTATCTCGAGCCCCCGTGGAAGCTTGCTGAGCGCGCATCAGTAGCGATAAAGATGTCGCTATGGATTGGAAGGAGCCGGCTTGTTCTTTTGTGTCGAATTACACAAATAGAGGATGTATAGGCGTTTATCAGGGACCGTCCAATGAGCAGCGAAAGCATGAAGAGCCAGGAAACAAAAGAGATTGTATCGAGGAGGTTGGTGAAGGGGCTGAAGACAAAAAAGGGGTGTTCTGCAATATTGGAATGTGCGGTAAGCTACTGTGGGGGTGTGAAATATGCCAGGTCGCGAATACCACACATGGAAAGCGAACCAGACGATAACTGGAACCACGGTTGTACTTCGTTCAAACTCCTGCCGCATGGTGTGACAGCTGTAGCCATGTCATGTCTTGTACGACTTCACGGTAAGTATTTACCACCGCTTTCGTCGACTGCACGGCGCTGGTGTACGACAGGATTACGGATAGCGATACCATTCACGCTGTGCTACACCTACGTGCGTGCACCCGTCGTGCTCTCTTAGAGACAGTTTAACCTGATATTCCGATCTCTTACGTTTTAGAGATATGGAATGCGGGACTGCAGCGTAGTCCGTAAAAGAAGGATACTCTTATCGCATCTGCAAGTGAGTACGCAAGATACACAGCCACACGCTGCAGCAGGACACGACGCGACAGACTTCGGCAGAATATACGCAGCCTCGTAAGTATGGCTTATTCACGCATAGGTGGTCGTCGATTTCCAAAAGTGAATGTTGGTGTTCACAAATGGAGAAAGAAGAAGCGACCACGAATCGCGGTACCGGAGAGCCATGTGGACTCAACGCTTGACACATAGATCGCTTCTGATGACCCATTTCTCTCCGTTCGTTACCTCGCGTCCTTCGTGCAGCATGCAGTCGGGGCCGTGTCGATGCAGCAGCGCGAGGCCGACTTCGAGGTCGACAACGAAAGGCTCAGGTGGAAGGTCTCTGCTCTTCTTCTTGGGCGGGTCCGGGTAGAAGACAGTCTCTCCACCGACGCATCCCGTGGCCGGCGAGGTGAGGTAAATCAACAAGGTCCAGGTAGTGCGCGTCGACAGAGGCGGTGATCCAGGAGTTTGAATGATCACACTGTTGGAATCGTCATCTGGCTCCATTAGCATGGGTTTCGTCACGACCGTCCGATGACTTGGGCAGAGTGACCAAGTAGTCATGACGTACAGTGCTGGTCGAAGAACTGGCCTTTGGAGTACCGATAGACACGGATGTTGGGGTTGAGGCCCACCACCTCGCCGCCCCACAGCTCTTTCCGCTGCGCTTCAGTGAGGCCGAGCGCCCCTTCCTCCGCATCGGCGGTGACTAGCCTCCTTAGTCCTGTGTCGTTCCATAGTCGCTCAGCGAACGCAGGGTCATCGATTTGATAGCGGTCGTTGACTCGCACGGCATCACCTTTCTTCGGTTTCCCAGGCGTCGTCGTCAATGGCAACGAGGAGAGGAAAGACACGTAGGTCTTGCACAGCGAAGCCGTGAAGAAGTTGGGGATGGTTACAATCTGTTTTGGAAGCACTTCGTGCAGGGCAAGGTCCTCTTCTGGTACGAGAGGAGCGAGGGCAGGCCAGTTCGGGGGTTGTCTCGCTGGTTCAGATGACGCCGCCGGCCTGGCAGGCGCGCCTTGTTGGGCTTTCTTCTTGGGGGGCATATCACTGTCAAGTCCTCCAGGGCTCCAGGGGTGGGACTGGCAGGTAATTCACACGTATGGGTTACTTTAAGGGTCCTGCGATTGGCCTGGGTCGCGGTTCTGGGTGGAAACTTTCAGTGCTTGGCTCTTTCCCTACCAAAAAGTGACGGCCAAATGTGCCGGAACGGGCTCACCTTTGATGACCTGATCTGTGGCTCCCGTCGTTCTTGTAGAGGTGCCCTCGCCCTTCTTGTGCACTCTATCCTCGCCTTGCTATTGCCTGCACCGCTACCGCTACCGCCCGCTCTTGCTGTACCCAGAGCAAATGTACTGACAATGGATTCACCAGGTGAGACAGCAGACGATCTGCCGATATCGCGACACGCGTCTTTCAGTTTTGAAGAATATTTCGAGGAGCTATCAATGGAACGAGCTCGAGAGTTGAGTTCATCTTTCGCATCGGCGCCGTCGGACCTTGATGCGGAGATGGGCGGCCAAGACCCACGTGCAGCAGGATTAGGCCCGGCGCAAGCCTCTCATGGGCAGCCTCGACCGACATCCTCCGAAGACACCAACCCGCTGCGACAGCACGACGCAGACCCTTTCCTATCGGCAGACGCATTCAGCTACAGCTTTGTCGCGCCCTCCAACGATTGCTTCCCTCGTATGTATTGCGCGACACCGCGACGCGGTTTGCTGGGCGAAAAAGAAGCGCGCCGCTAACCATGTGCAGAGGACGGCATCTTTGACCTCCATTCCGTGAACTTCTTCCAGTACCCTTCCACCTACAACTACGCATTTCCCAACGAAGATGGCGGCGGCAGTATGGCCGTAGCCCCTTCCAACGAGCTTCTACACCATGTCAGCCCCCAATATGACACCCCCGACGCCCTTGCCTCGCCTGCTCCCGACAAGCGCATTCCCGACATGGCAGCCGCGACCAGCGATGCGTCGGCCATGCCTGCCCTCGGCGGCGAGAATCCACCGGCCAACCACGACCTGATGGACAACAC